GAAAATTGTATGATTATCTCATGATATGTCTTAGTCTCCGGTTTAATTAATGTTGTTTGGGTTCTATTTTTTCAGAAGAGTTTGCTACTGATTTCTGGCAACTCTCCAGCTGTGGTGTTACCCTGTGACTCTCGTCAATGCTACAACAGCTGTTGTTCTGTAAAGGTATTCCTGAAAACATGCGCTATGAGTGAATGTGGGTTCGCCAAAGTCTCCCTTTCAGTTCATGATCACTGTTGAAATTCATGATGGATGCTACACCTAGGAAGTGTGCAATCATTGTAGCTCTTAGAAAACACGCTGATTTGAGTATCAGATCGCCGAAATTTTCAGTCTAGAAAGGTCACTTGATGGTCGAATTCTGAAGAGAGCTCGCGACACTGGTGACTATGGAGCGTTGCATCGAGGAAGATGTGGAAGAAATAGCAGGAGAATGCCTCACGACGGTTATAATAGTGTGAAACATATCAAGAATACCAGCAAAGACCTACAGAAAGATTTGGCTTCAGCTGGCGTAAATATTGAGTCTAACTGATCGACTAAGGCTCCTTGAAGTTGGCAGAACTGTCAGAAAGCCTATAAGCAATTACTGACTGTTGCTATAAAAAAAAAACGGCTACGGTGGGCACTCGATCATAAGCGAGAGAATGATATAGCAGCAAAAGCCAAGTCCGACCCGAAGCTGTTGTACAGTCGCATCAGGAGGAAAACAACAGTCAAGGACCAGGTAATCAGGGTGAGGAAGGAAGGAGGGAAGATCAGATGAAACGACCGAGAAGTATGTAAGGAGCTCAACACGAGATTTAAAGAAGTATTCACAGTGGAGACAGAAAGGACCCCAGAAAGCAGGAGTGGTGGGATACACCAAGTGCTGGACACAGTACTTACAACCGAGGAAGAGGTGAAGAGGCACTGCTAAGAGAACTAGATACTTCAAAAGCGATGGGGCCAGATAATATCTATCCTTGGGTCCTGATAGAGGGAACAGAGGTGCTCTGTGTACCACCACCAACAATCTTCAACACTCAACATTGGACTACAGACCAATGCCACTGACATGTATAGTATGCAAAGTCATGGAGAAGATTATCAGAAGAGTTCTGGAGCACTTAGAAAGGAATGAGCTTATCAACAACAACCAGCATGGATTTAGGGACAGGAAATCCTGTGTCACAAACCTACTGGAGTTCTATGACAGGGTGTCAGCAGTAAGACAAGAGAGAGAGCGGGGGGTGGGTAGACTGCATTTTCTTGGACTGTAAGAAGGCTTTTGACACAGTCCAACACAAGAGATTAGTGCAATAGCTGGAGGACCAGGCAGGTACTGCAATGGCTCAGAGAATACCTGACAGTAAGACATCAGCGAATCATTGTACGTGACGAGGTGTCAGACTGGGCACCTGTGACAAGCGGGGTTCCATAGGGGTCGGTCCTAGGATCAGTGCTGTTTCTGGTATATGTGAATGGCATGACGGAAGGAATAGACTCAGAAGTGTCCCTGTTTGCAGACGATGTGAAGTTACTGAAAAGAATTCAATCGGAGGAGGACCAGGCAGGACTGCACAGGGATCTGGACAGGGTACTGGCCTGGTCCAGCATATGGCTCCTGGGGTTCAACCCCACCAAGTGCAAAGTCATGAAGACCAGGGAAGGGCAAAGAAGGCTGCAGACAGAGCACAGTCTAGAGGGCGTGAGTATAATACCGAGCACATCTCCTGAGATGCACATCAACCAAATAATTGTTGCAGCATATGGACGCTTAGCAAACCTAAGAATAGCAATCCGACATTTCAGTAAGGAATCGTTCAGGACTCTGTACACCGTGTATGTCACACCCATATTGGAGTATGCAGCAGTTTGGAATCCACACCTGGCCAAGCACGTCAGGAAATTAGAGAAAGTGCAAAGGTTTGCAATGAGACTAGTCCCGGAGCTAAAGGGTATGTCCAAAGAGGAAAGTTTATGGGAAATCGACATGACAACACTGGAGGATAGGAGGGATACGGGGGGATATGATAACGACATATAAAATACTGAAAGGAACCTATGAGATGGGCAGAGACAGGATGTTCCAGAGATGGAACACAGGAACAAGGGGTCACAATTGAAAGTTGAAGACTCAGATGAGTCACAGGGATGTTATGAAGTATTTCTTCACTCAGAGTGGTCAGGAAGTGGAATAGTCTAATGAGTGATGTAGTGGAGGCAGGATCCATACACAGCTTCAAGAAAAGGTATGATAAAGCTCACGGAGGAGGGAGAGAGTGACCTAGTAGTGACCAGTGAAGAGGAAGGGCCAGGAACTATGAATCGACCCCTGCAATCACAATTAGGTGAGTACGTACACACACACACACGCGCGCTCGGAGTGTCAGTGTATTAGTAAAGGAAAACATGCATGGGAGGAGTGTGTACCGTGCTGCCTACGTTGTCACATGACACGTGTGTGTACTCACCCAATTGTGGTTGTAGTGCTCGAGTCATAGCTCCTGGCCCTGCCTCTTCACTGGTCGCTACTAGGTCCACTCTCTCCCTGCTCTATGAGATTTATCATACCTCTTCTTAAAGCTATGTATGGAACCTGCCTTCACTACATCACTCTCCAGACTGTTCCACTTCCTGACAACTATATGAGTGAAAAAATATTTCCTGACATCCCTGTGACTCAACTGAGACTTCAATTTCCAGTTGTGACCCTTTGTTGCTGTGTCCCATCTCTGGAACATCCTGTCTGTCCACCTTGTCAATTCCTCTCAGTATAATGTATGTCGTTACCTTGACCCCCATCCCCCTCTCTCTCTTGTCGTCCAGTGTTGTCAGGTCGATTGCCCTTAACCTCTCCTCGTAGGACATATCCTGCAGCAATTATTTGGTTGATGTGTGCCTCAGGAGATGTGCTTGGTATTATGCTCACCCCAAGATCATTTTCCTTGAGTGAGGATTGCAGTCTTTGGCCCCCCCTAGACTCTATTCTGTCTGCGGTCTTATTTGCCCTTCCCCGATCATGACTTTGCACTTGGTGGGGTTAAACTCGAGAAGCCAGCTGCTGGACTAGGCTTGCAGCCTGTCCAGATCCCTTTGTAGTCCTGCCTGATCCTCGTCCGACTGAATTCTTCTCATTGTTTCACATCGTCTGCAAACAGGGTCACTTCTGAGTCTATTCCGTCACGTCATTCATACACCAGAAACAGCACCGGTCCTAGGACCGATCCCTGTGGAACCCCGCCCGTCCCAGGCGCCCAGTCTGACATCTTGTTGCATACCATGACTCGCTTTTGCCTTCCTGTCAGGTTTTCTCTGATCCACTGCAGTGCCTTCCCTGTTATACCTGCCTGATCCTCCAACTTTTGCACTAATCTTTTGTGTGGAATTATGACAAAAGCCGTCTTACACTCCAAGAAAAGGGAATCTACCCACCTTTCTATCTCTCTTGCCTCCTTACAATCCAAGAAAAGGCAATCTACCCACCCTTCTCTCTCTTGCCTTACCTCTGTCACCTTGTCATAGAACTCCAGTAGTTTGTGACACAGGATTTCTCGTCCCTGAAACCATGCTGGTTGTCGTGAATAAGCTCATTCCTTTTTAGATGCTCCACCACTCTTCTCTTGATAACCTTCTCCATGACACTGTATACTATACCTGTCAGTGACACTGGTCTGTAGTTTAGTGCTGTGTGTCTGTCACCTTTCTTAAAAACTGGGACTACATTTGCTCTCTTCCACATCTCAGGTAGTCGCCCTGTTTCGATAGATGTTTTGAAGATTGTTTTTAGCTTAGGTTAGAGTGCCTCTGCTCCCTCTCTCAGGACCCATGGAGAAATGTTGTCTGGCCCCACCGCCTTTGAGGTATCTAGTTCACTAGCAGCCTCTCTACCTCTTCCTCGGATGTATGTATTGTGTCCAGCACTTGTTGGTGTACCTCACCAATCCGGCCTTCTGGAGTCCATTCTGTCTCCTCTGTAAATATTTCTTTAAATCTCTTGTTGAGCTCTTCACATGTTTCTCGGTCGTTTATTGTGATCTCCCTTCCTCAGCCTGATTACCTGGTCTTTTTTCTTCCTGGTGTGCCTGAATAACAGCTTCGGGTCAGACATGGCTTTTGCTGCTATGTCATTTTCGTATTGTCGCTGGGGCTCTCCTTATCTATACATATTCATTTCTGGTTCTTCGACTACTCTCCTTATTTTCCCGAATCCTTTGCCTTCTATACTTCTTCCATTAGTTTTGGCCTCTCTACACCGTTGGGTAACCAAGGGCTCACCCATCATATCATTTTCTGATTTTCCTGCCGGTTCTCTTTCCCACTGAACCTCGTGCAGAAGTTCCTCAAGCCTGTATAGTCAGGCTTCATTCGTCCGGCCATTCTTGCTTCCCTCTCCACTTGTAACAACTATGTATTCGAAGCTCAGGACCACGTGATCACTAGCTCAATATCTGAAACTACTCAAGGCGAATACAAGGTCCAGTCTTGCTGGATCGTCCTCTCCTCTCTCTCTCTCTGATAGTGTCCCTAACGTGCTGATGCACGAGATTTTCAAGTACCACCTCCATCATCCTTGTCCTCCACGTTTCTGGGCCCCAGTGTAGCTCCAGGTTTCCCAGTCAATTTCCTTGCGATTGAAATCAGCGACAAGCAGCAGCTTTGCCCTGCCCACGTGGGTCCTTCTGGCCCCTGCCCACGTGGGTCCTTCTGGCCCCTGCCCACGTGGGTCCTTCTGACCCCTGCCCACGTGGGTCCTTCTGGCCCCTGCCCACGTGGGTCCTTCTGGCCCCTGCCCACGTGGGTCCTTCTGGCCACTTCAGCCAGTCAGTATCGACCATGTTTCTGTTATAATCATCATATTCTTGTCTTGGCCTTCTGCTGTTCTGTGGTGGGTTATACATCATTGCACTCGCCACTGTATGGTAACGTAACACCCCTGTGAGTTAAGTAACGTAACACCCCCGTGGAGTAAGTAACGAACACGGAAAAGAACGAAGTGAAAACAGTGATCATGAGGACAATAACAACCAACACAGATAACGATGATAACGAACCCTTTTAATGAGAGAAAGAGAAAGAGAGAAAGAGAGAGAGAGAGACTCACCAAACATCTCTCCGTTGCAGGCGTATTCTGACACTAAGTAGATCATGTTCTTGGACTCCATCACCTGTGGACAAACACACACACACATAAACTTAGTTATCCTGACACAAACTTAATTTTCCTGACACAAAATTATGACACAAACTTAGTTATCCTGACACAAACCTAGTTATCCCGACACAAACTAAACTATCCTGACAAACTTAATTATCCTCACACAAACTTAATTATCATGATACAAATTTAGTTATCCCTAGACAAACTTAATTATCCTGCCTCAAACAATTACCATGAAACTTTGTTATCCTGACAAACTTAATTATCCTGACACAAAATTATACTGACTCAAACTTAATTATCCTGACACAAACTTAATTATCCTGACTCAAACTTAATTATCCTGCCTCAAACTTAATTATCCTGACACAAACTTAATTATCCTGACTCAAACTTAATTATCCTGCCTCAAACAATTACCATGAAACTTTGTTATCCTGACAAACTTAATTATCCTGACACAAAATTATACTGACTCAAACTTAATTATCCTGACACAAACTTAATTATCCTGACTCAAACTTAATTATCCTGACTCAAACTTAATTATCCTGACACAAACTTAATTATCCTGACACAAACTTAATTATCCTGACTCAAACTTAATTATCCTGACTCAAACTTAATTATCCTGACTCAAACTTAATTATCCTGACACAAACTTAATTATTATGACACAAACTTAATTATCCTGACACAAACTTAATCATCCTGACTCAAACTTAATTATCCTGACTCAAACTTAATTATCCTGACACAAACTTAATTATCCTGACACAAACTTAATTATCCTGACTCAAACTTAATTATCCTGACACAAACGTAATTATCCTGACACAAACGTAATTATCCTGACACAAACTTAATTATCCTGACACAAACTTAATTATCCTGACTCTCACTTAATTATCCTGACAAACTTAATTATCCTGACTCAAACTTAATTATCCTGACACAAACTTAATTATCCTGACACAAACTTAATTATCCTGACACAAACTTAATTTTCTGATCAAACTTAATTATCCTGACACAAATGAACTATCCTGACAAACTTAATTATCCTGACACAAACTTAATTATCCTGACTCAAACTTAATTATCCCGACACAAACTTAATTATCCTGACACAAACTTAATTATCCTGACACAAACTTAATTATCCTGACACAAACTTAATTATCCTGACACAAACTTAACTATCCTGACACAAACTTAATTATCCTGACACAAACTTAATTATCCTGACACAAACTTAATTATCCTGACACAAACTTAATTATCCAAACACAAACTTAATTATCCAAACACAAACTTAATTATCCTGACACAAACTTAATTATTCTGACACAAACTTAATTATCCTGACACAAACTTAACTATCCTGACACAAACTTAATTATCCTGACACAAACTTAATTATCCTGACACAAACTTAATTATCCTGACACAAACTTAACTATCCTGACACAAACTTAATTATCCTGACACAAACTTAATTATCCAACACAAACTTAATTATCCAACACAAACTTAATTATCCTGACAAATATTCACCAAACTTAATTATCCTGACACAAACTTAATTATCCTGACACAAACTTAATTATCCTAACACAAACTTAATTATCTGACACAAACTTAATTATCCTACACAAATTAATTATCCTAACACAAACTTAATTATCCTGACACAAACTTAATTATCCAAACAAACTTAATTATCCAAACACAAACTTAATTATCCTGACACAAACTTAATTATCCTGACACAAACTTAATTATCCTGACACAAACTTAATTATCCAAACACAAACTTAATTATCCTGACACAAACTTAATTATCCTGAAACAAACTTAATTATCCAAACACAAACTTAATTATCCTAACACAAACTTAATTATCCTGACACAAACTTAATTATCCAAACACAAACTTAATTATCCTAACACAAACTTAATTATCCTGAAACAAAATTATTCAAACACAAACTTAATTATCCTAACACAAACTTAATTATCCTGACATAAACTTAATTATCCTGACACAAACTTAATTATCCTAACAAACTTAATTATCCTAACACAAACTTAATTATCCTAACACAAACTTAATTATCCTGACACAAACTTAATTATCCTAACACAAACTTAATTATCCTGACGTAAACTTAATTATCCTGACACAAACTTAATTATCCTAACAAACTTAATTATCCTGACACAAACTTAATTATCCTGACACAAACTTAATTATCCTGACACAAACTTAATTATCCTGACACAAACTTAATTATCCTAACAAACTTAATTATCCTAACACAAACTTAATTATCCTGACACAAACTTAATTATCCTAACACAAATTTAATTATCCTAACAAACTTAATTATCCTGACGTAAACTTAATTATCCTGACACAAACTTAATTATCCTAACACAAACTTAATTATCCTGACACAAACTTAATTATCCTGACACAAACTTAATTATCCTAACAAACTTAATTATCCTAACAAACTTAATTATCCTAACACAAACTTAATTATCCTAACAAACTTAATTATCCTAACACAAACTTAATTATCCTAACAAACTTAATTATCCTAACACAAACTTAATTATCCTAACACAAACTTAATTATCCTAACACAAACTTAATCTACGTGTGATTTTATATTTTACAAGCTTTAATATTATTATAATCAAGGGGGAAGCGCTAAACCCGGAGGATTATACAGCGCCTGGGGGGGGGGGGATGTGGAAGTCATTCAGCCTTAATTCGGGGAAGTGGAGCACAGATCCAATTCCCTAAATCAAGATCCCCTCACCAACATCAAGGAACCTTCCTTGAGGGGTTCACAAGCTTTAATATTTTAATGAAAAAGATAATAATGAAATATAACAACATTTTAGACAGACATTTTACATTGTTGAAGATGTCACATTAAGTGACAACATTGTTGATGTCACAATAATTGACAACATTGTTAAAGATGTCACAATAAGTGACAACATTGTTAAAGATGTCACAATAAGTGACAACATTGTTGATGTCACAATAATTGACAACATTGTTAAAGATGTCACAATAAGTGACAACATTGTTAAAGATGTCACAATAAGTGACAACATTGTTAAGATGTCACAATAAGTGACAACATTGTTAAGATTGTCACAATAATGACAACATTGTTAAAGATGTCACAATAAGTGACAACATTGTTAAAGATGTCACAATAAGTGACAACATTGTTAAAGATGTCACAATAAGTGACAACATTGTTAAAGATGTCACAATAAGTGACAACATTGTTAAAGATGTCACAATAAGTGACAACATTGCCAGAAGTGTGATCAAGTAATCAATAATGGTTCAAATTATTTTAACTGGGATTGTTTCATTTATTACATATTGATAACTAGTAATCCACAACAGGTCAAATTTATTAGTTACACCAATAATGGACTTTTATGTTAAGGGAAAAAAATAGAGGAGTGGAGCTGCTTAACTGCTCATTGTTCTACTGATAACAGCATTGTTCTACTGATAACAGCATTGTTCTACTGATAACAGCATTGTTCTACTGATAACAGCATTGTTCTACTGATAACAGCATTGTTCTACTGATAACAGCATTGTTCTACTGATAACAGCATTGTTCTACTGATAACAGCATTGTTCTACTGATAACTAAACTGTAACAGAAAGACTGAAATAAATGAAACTATTATTTAATTGATTTTTAAATACATTACCATCAATGTTTAAAAAGAAAGATAACTGAAAAATAGGACCATTTATAAAAATAGCACTGTACCTTATAAGCAATGTGTGTTATAAGCAACACCTGTTGTGTGACACTGAAGCTGTTCTAAATATTTAAAACATCAATAAATGTAAATTAATCATGAAAGGTTTGGTTTCGTTAGGTCAAACTATTACTTTGCGATATATATATATATATATATATATATATATATATTATATATATATATATATATATATATATATATATATATATATATATATATATATATATATATTACACACTAATATTTAGATAAATCAATTGTTTTGCGATATATCTTAATGTTTTGATGAAATCTGACCGGAGAAAACGATGGTCAGATATTAAAAAAAAAATAGTGCGCCTACAATTTGTTTTTTTCGCGTGCCACCTTTGGGCGGGTGTGCCAAAGGATGGCTGCCCCCCGGCCTAGAGCAGAGGGCACACTGCTGGGTACTGGAGAACATGCACCAAACACGGCAAGATGTTACAAAAAAAAAAAAACTTGAGTGAGCTGGATGCATCGAAGGCAATGTGACCTGACAGGGTATGACCACGGATGCTATGAGAGGGAGCAGAAGCACCGTGTGATCCACTACCTTGGATCTACAATAAATCAATGGACACTGGACAATCGCTAGAGATATGGACAACAGCAAATGTAGTCCTAATATTTAAGAAAGGAGACAAACGATAAGCGTTGTACCAAATGTCACTGTCAGTGACAGGCATAGCATGTAAGGTAATGGAGATGATAAACAGAACGGTATAACACTTGGAGGGAAGTCAATTCATAAACAATAATTAGCATGGGTTTAGAGACGGCAAATCTTCTCATACTAACCTCCTGGAGTTTTCTAATAAAGTGAGAGAAGTGAGGCAGAAGAGAGAGGAATGGGTGGAGTGCATATTCTTGGACTGCAAGAAGGCATTTAATACTGTACCTCACAACTGACTAGGGCAAAACTTGAGGTGCGAGCACGAACAGGTAAAGTACTGCGCTGGATCAAAGGGTACCTTAGCGGAAAGAAAAAGTGACTGTCCTGGAAGAGATGTCATAATGGAGAGGAGTGACAAGCGGGGTTCTGCAAGGATCGCTATCAGGACAATTACTGTTTCTGATATATGCGAATGACATGCTGAATGGGAATGAGTCAGATGCATCTCTGTTTGCTGATGTAAAATTAACGAAGATAAAATCTGATGAGGACAAGGAAACGAAACAAATGGATCTGGACACACTGCAAGACTGATTAGATAAATGATCACTTGAATTCAACCTTAGCAAATGCAGGGTTATGAGGATTAGAAAAGGGGAAGAAAATCAAACACTAAGTATAGACTCGGGAATCTCACTCAGAGAAAAACTTAGGGGTGAGCATAGCGCCAAGCATATCGCTGGAGGCATAAATCAAGTGAATAACTTCTACAGCTCAAACTTGTCTGGCAAATCTAAGAGTATATAATATGTCTTCAGGAATCTCGACAAGGAGTCATTGAAGACCCTCTATGCAACATATGTCAGGCCCATCTTGGAGTATACAGCACCAGTATGAAACCCACACCTGATAAAGCAGGTTAAGAAACGGGAGAAAATGCAGAGATATGCAACGAGACTAGTCTCAAGATTAAGGTATGAACTATCAGAAGAAACTACAGGAACTGAACGGCAATAAAGGAAAGAACAAGGGGAGACATAACTTTAAAATTACTCAGGAAGAACTGATAGCGTAGACAAGGAAAAACTCAAGAATTAGACACGTGTAAAATTTGGGTATCTTTATTTGTAGATGTTTAGTCATCCAGTAGCCTTATAAATACAGCACAAGGACGTAATGTGAAGAATGAAAATTATACACAAAAGTTGAGGTAATCAGTCCCTCAGCCTTGGAGTTGGTAAGGAGCACCGTGGTTTTGAAGACTACGGTGATCTTCACCAACTCCAAGACTGACGCACTCATTATCTCATCTTTTGTATATAATTCTGCATTCTTCACATTATGTTCTACTGTACTGACAAAGCCACTGGATGGCGAAACGTCTACAAATAAAGATACCCAGATGTTGGACATGCGTCTAAATTCATCCTGTCGGTATTGTATACCATTCATGTACAAGGAAAGATCGTTTGAGAGACGAGAAACAGGTACAAGAGGGTACAGTTGGAAATTAAGGATGCATATTAGTCATAGGGATACCAGGAAACATTTCTTCAGCCTAAGAGTGATCAAGAAGTGCAAGGGCCTTGAAGATATGGAGGCAGGTTCCACACACAATTTTAAGAACAGGTACGACAGGGTCCATGAGGGTCGGGGGTGAGGGGAAACTGAATATAGCTACCTTAGAGACGGGGGCCATTAACTTAGACTTGACCCCTGCAACATTATACAGGTAAGTATATATAGGCAAGTACACAACCCACATACACACGCGCGCGCGCACGCACACACACACGCACACGCACACACACACACACACACACACACACACACACACACACACACACACCTGGTAGAGCTTGATGATGTGCGGATGGTCGAGACTCTTCAACACTTTAACCTCGCGGTGAACCTTCTGAAGGTTGGTGGCATCCAGCTGGGACTTGTCAATGATCTTGATGGCCACCTGTGGGAAAGAGACGGGTCTGTCAGTCTACCAGCTGGGGCAGCTGGAACAGTATGCTACCTGCAGGAGTAATAAGGAGAAATAGGTCAACAATATATCACCTGCAACGACGCCACCTGTGTTGTGTGTGTGTGTGTGTGTGTGTGTGTGTGTGTGTGTGTGTGTGTGCGCGCGCGCTTAAATTCTAACACGGACACAATACACCTTGCTATTATTAAACTACATTTCGCTCAGAGGTGAGCTCATCTGAGCCAAACGTTGTGGAATGAAGTCTTGTTTGGCTGTGTCTTTCCATTGGCATTTCAAGCAACACGGGTCCCTCCACGGGTCCCTCCACGGGTCCCTCCACGGGTCCCTCCACGGGTCTGAAGTTCGTCTGAAGGATTCAGGAGAAACGTTACGTTCTATTGAAACCATCAAGTTCAAGACTTGAAAAAGTTCTCCTTGGGGGAAGGGGGGGGGGTGAAACCTCGTGGTCTGCCTGTGTGTCTGTCGTCCGTCTGCAGTGCGTCAAACATTCTGCACAGCAGACAGGCTGTCACGAACAGGCAAACCTTCAAGCAACCTTCCACGAATAAGTAGGCAGGCATGCAAGGCAGGCAGGCATAACATGCAGGCAGGAAAGCAGGCAAGGCAGGCAAGCAAGCAAGTAGGCAGGCAAAGCAGACAGGTAAGCGCAGGCAAGCAGAGATGCAAGGTAGGCAGGCAAGGCAAGCAGGCAGGTAGGCAGACATGCATGGCAGGCAGGCAAGCAGGTAGGCATGCATGTATGGTAGACAGGCAGGCAGGCAGGCAGGCAGGCAGGCAGGCAGGCAGGCAGGCAGGCAGGCAGGCAGGCAGGCAAGCAGGCAGGCAGGCAGGCAAGCAGGCAGACATGCATGGCAGGCAGACAGGCAAGGCAGACAGGCAAGGCAGACAGGTAGACATGCAAGACAGGTAGG